ACTCCATTGTGTATTGGCTATGATTTGAAACAGAGGTTAATACATGTGTATAACTCTGCATTAAGCTCAGGGAAAAAATCCATTCTGCTGAGATAAAAATATTGGCGGTAATGCTACCTTTTTACCTTCTGGATAGTGAATTCTTTGAAAATCATAGCGAACCAACTAGTCAGAACTTGATGCTTATAAGGATAAGGAAATTGGTACCTTTTTGGAGCCACAATATCCTTTTGTTGTTGATTGTGTTCAAGATCTTATGCAACAACGAAGTGAATGCTTGTAAGTATTGTATAGTTTTGTACTAAATCATATGCGTAATTCATTTTTATAATATATATTCTGTAATTTGTAGGTACTGCGGTCTATTTGTAGTTGCGTTTGCTGAGCTTCTGAGTGACGAAATCTATGTTCCATCTGATGGTTTTTGATGTAATTATCTCTGTAATAGATATGCAACATTATTATGAAGATACACTAGTGACAAAGCCATTCTTGGATACGTTAGTGAGAGTTATGATCCACCAAAGCCTAAGCATGAATTCACACCACCATCCCAAGATGATTTGGTTCATACATCATAGTGATTATGTATCAATACATAGACACCTTTCGATATTTTTTTTTGTTTTTAAGACAATTTTACTTGAGTTTTAGAGTATTTCTCTAAAAATAATTCTTATTACATTATTTTGTAATTTCTTATATTTTGTGTTTTCAATATATTGCTCTTGATACACAACACACTACATGATACTTAAATCTTTCACATTATACATTTTGGTTCCACAAAATTAAGCTTCAGACACATAACTTATTTACTTAAATCATATTGTAACTAGTTGATTTAGTGATGTAATAATGTATATGATACACTGTATAAAATGTATATGATACATGATTTATACCTATATGCTTGATACACTACATATAATATATATGATACAATGGATATAATGTATATGATACAATGGATATAATGTATATGATACATATTTCATACCTATGTAATAATTAAACTTTTGAGACAGTTGATAGTGTAAATTAGGTATCATATAATTAAGCAGTTATGCAGTAGATACTGAATATCTCTTATTTTTAGTTGATACATTCAGAATTTGTTTTTATTTATAACAATGTTTGTATCACTAATTGTCTAACAGATACAACATTGGCACATAAATCTTAACAAATTCTTATATTGAACAGCAACACCCATATATATTATATCAAAATAACCCATGTGAAAACTACAATATATTTGATGTAAATATAAAAGTGAAAAATTTATAAGTGAAAATTTATTCAACGTGAACATAAATGTCTTATAAAAAATATGTTTCACTTCTCTTTGGGGAAGAAAGTACAAGTTCTTCTGTTGTGTCCTTCTTGTCCACAGCGCCCACAATAATTTGTGTTTGTTGTTATCTTTGCATCTGCGTTTTTTTTTCTTCGCTTCATTGATCTTCCAGACATCTTTTTGTATCTAAAACATTGTCTGGAACCGACCAAACCTCCTTATCTAGCATTGGAACCATTGAAACCTCATAGGTTTTTGCTAATGCATCATGTAGTAATCAAAGCAATAGGGATGCATATAACATTCTTGCTCTTTAAAACAACAATTGTATCTGTGGAAGGTATCTCGTCTAGTTGAAATCTTCCACAAGTACATACTTTCCGCTCAAGGAAAACAATATATTTCTTCCAGCTTCATAAACTGAGAAAATAAATTTAGACAATGGAACAACCTGTAAACATTAAAAAGTTACTGATACATTGCATAAAAGGCCACTATTTTGTATTTTTTTTCAAGTAATGTTTGATCAAATAGCCAAATGATACACCACATCAGATACATAAAATATATAGTTATGTATCTTTATACATACCCTCATTTTTTAACATTTAGATGCGTTTACAATCAATACCTCCTAAAATCTTGTCCCCAGTGTATCCTTTGTATATGAGGCTATTTCTCTGTTTTTACAGTTCCAAGAACCAAATAGAATTCTAGCCTCTTCCAAGAATTCTAATATAGACAACAGACGTGCCTCAACAAGGTAGGCATTGATATATTCCACGATGTTCGAAGTCATCACTCTACCTCTGTTTATTGTTAAATGAGCTCTCGACCACTTCTAATACCTAGCATCCTCAAGGTACTCCTTAACTCTATGATCAATTTTTTCCACCTTAGCCATTGATTTATCAAAATCCTCGATAAGCCTTGGCCATACAGTATAGTATATCACTTAGGGTGGTTCTTCTCCTCTTGAAGTGTGTTGAAGTTTGTATAGACATTCTTCCAAAGATGTCATATGCATGCATAATGAGGTACATTTGGAAACACAATGCTTACACTCTTCATAATGCTTTAATTTCTATCTAATATAGCACAACTTTTTTCACTCTCGCCAAATGCATTTTTGAATTGTTCAAAGAACCATGTCTACGAATAGTCATTTTCTGTGTCTACAACCCCATATGTCAATGGCAATATGCAACCTAATCACAAACCAATACACATGAATTTTTTTAGTATAATAGTTACACTGTGTATCAGTTATTATACAAAAAAAAGCAAGTTCCCTATTACAAAAATGCATACCCGTCTTATCCAGTGTGCTTGCTGATACAAATGTCCCTTTGTAAGCTCCACTAAAATGTGCACCATCAACAACAACTATCGATCTGCAGAACTTGAACCCCCTCATCAATGGTCTCAAGGCTATGAACAGATACATGAATGCATATTTCTCCGATTTGTGCATCCTTATATATAAATTTGGATATATAATATTTAGCATGTATATGTATCTAGGCATCTGCCTATATCCATCTGATGGTTTGCCCCTTAGCATTTCTATTGTATGTTCCTTAGCACGTCATGCTTGCTGGTAAGGTATCTCAATCCCATAGAATTCTCTAACATCCTTAATAACATCTTTTGGAGTATGAATTCTCTTACCTTTAGGAGCAGTCACACCACTAACAAACCCGACTGTTTCTTGGACTTTGGTTAGTATCCTCTCCCGCAATGGACAAGTATGTTCACTATTGAAGTATCTCACATTGAATACATCTGATTTTTTCCTATACAAGGCCTTCATATTCCAGTCATTCGAAAAGCACACTAACACATAGCAATACAGTTGGTTTGATCATATTAATGCATACACTAGATACATTTGAAATATATAATGCTACAGTGATTCACAATATCTCAAAGAATGATATATATTAATGTAACATCCATGTCAATGATCACCATAACTATTTGATATATCTTAATTATTAGATTGTTGTATGTGTCATATTCACAGCACCAGCCTGATACACGTTATAGAAATCAATGATACTCTCACATTAGAGATACAAAATGTATCTGATATATGATACTTCTTACTCATTTTTTGTATGTATCACATACAATTCATTACATTTATTTACTACTTTTTCATGCTTAACAGATAGATACATATTCGCTCATAATAACTCATGTCATACCGCCAAAAAAATTGTAGAGATACCAGATACAAAATTAATTTTACACTATTAACAATTTACAACTAATATATCATGAATATCATATCAATATCAGATAATCATAAAAAAAAAAAATATATCACCATGATACATCTGCTAATAATAATAATATATCATAAAAGATTAGAAACAGAGATCAAATACTCTCATACCTTTTTCTATCAGATCTCTTTATATATTTCTTCATTACAACTATGAGCATTGTTTTATCCTTATACAATTGTCTTGTCTTCACCTCTGTATTCTTTGAATCACTTATGTAATTTGTAACTTCTAGTTCTGGAATATAATATGAATAACAAATTCTTGATTCAACCACAACAAAAGCTTCGGTATCCTTTTCTGCACCTTCGACACACATAATTTCTCCGGATGCAGCATCAAAGTTATGTCTCTCCACCATTCTTCTCTATTGTATCAATACATAGGGGATACGTTGCAAATTTAGGCTCATTTGTTTCACCTCCAAATACAGTTTTACACCATGTCGTTCTTAATTTTCAATGGAGATGAGCTACTTTCTATGATGTATATGATTTTCAAGTATTTCCTAATCACATCAATCTCCAACTCGGTTGAAATAGCGGCTTTGAGATTCATAAATGAAATCGATTGTCCAACAACAATTCCATCACTTTCATAACCTTCATAACTCCCCTCACTTACCCAAATTCCTGAATGTCTCAACAAAATCAATATATTCATATTGTATCAACCAATTTTGTTGAGTAATTTGAATTTTTCACAATATGGGGCAACGATGACGGCTTGATGGAGATAATGGGAATTTGAATTTTGAAATTTTGTGAATCTATTACAGATTGACAATCAATTATGCATGAATCGTGAGAATTAAAATCAACTTTACATTAATTTTCCTTATTAAGCGCAATAGTCAACTTTCGTGATGTATCACACCTAATGTATCCAGACGAAACTTATGTATCCAAATGACTTTTATTTATGAATTTTTTGTAAAATAGTAAAGAGTGGAGATAGGATATAATTTAGATCTTACACTATGTGATTCCTATAATTTTTACTTTAATAATCGGTGATATTGAAAGATAAATATGACCATTTTCAGTAAAACAAAAATGTGACAATGACAATATGAGAGTTATTTGTTTGACAAAGTCTATGAATGACTCAGTGTAAATCTCTCTTTAATTATCATATCTCTAACCAGAACATTTTTTCTAACAAAACCAATGACTGATCATCATAATTAAGCACTAAATTACCTTTGTCACCAGTTAACTTCAATCCAAAATAAAAATTCAGTTCATGTACTGCTTAACACTATATAGATATCTTCATACATATCATTTCCCGAGTGCTAGAAGAAATGAAAGACAAATCCTTCTGAAACGATAGTAAAACAAAGCAATCTTGTCTATCGCGATACCTTTTTGTCTGGCATTAGTTTGGGACAACAGTGAGCTCGAGATGAGTAAGAATGAACACAAGCTCATCTAAACTATGTTTAATCTGTACAGCTATATGATTAGGGTTCCAAGTCAAGCTTTGAGAAAAACAACAAGGACCAAATAAAAGATTGCTTGCTGCCAAACAGCAGGGGGTTTTGGCTCTACAAAGGACTTCAACTCCCGGAGTCCATTACAAATTTACAGTAGCTTGGTCCAGGATCCCAAGAATGGGAAAACAGCAATTAGCAGTCTCAATACAAATGGAGTTTCTCTCCTTCCGATTCTCTTGCTCAATTTACCATCAGTCAATTGTTTTGGTTCAGCTGGTCTTCGATTAAGGGGCTTTTCCTGCTGTCCTTCCATATTGTCTAGTTCATCCCAACCACCAAAATTTAGAGTGCTTCCTGACTTTTTTCTATCTGGTGCACCATTTGAGGACTGATAATCTCTAACCTTGCCATTTCGAGTATTTTCTCCTTTTCCCATTCTTGTTCCAGGGTTGCTCGCTTCTCTAGCATAGCGTCTTTTCTTTTTCTTGTAATTGGATCGTGGACCTTCATCAGACCATCCCCAGATGGCATCCATCACTAATGAAAGAGTAGACTGTGCCAAAGGAAGTGCTAATGCCATGATAATAGTATTTGTACCTGTTCCAAGTACCACTGACATAATAATAGCTGGAAGCATCCAACCAAAGGCTCTGAGCACCTGCACCAGACCATAAGACAATTATACTTACAATAGTCTGCAAAAATGGAGGTTTTATAAGCAAGCCTTAATAAACCAAATTTTCCACCGGTCACAAAAGTACAAGCCAACAGATTAAAACACTCAATATATTTCACATATTTAGATGATCTTTGAAACCTAATGAACAGAAAAGGCTGAAATTTTGCGGTTACCAGGTGATCCCCAGAAATATTTCTACTTTAATCCAGTCAAATATCTCGCATGTAGATAGAAAATGCTAAGTTATGTGATCTCAGTGTCATCATCTTTTCCAGTAGATATGACATAAAAGAGTTTCATTTTCTTTTAGTGACGCTTATCTAGATAGAGCAGAAAATATATAAGGTACAGGTGGCGGGCTGCAAATGAGTTCAATGAAAACTAGCTTTATCAAAAGAAAAAGGGAAAATACATAAGTTGCACCTCAAACTTGTTTGGAGAACTCGGTTAACACGCTTTAACTTTACGGTTGTTTCTTTACCCATATTCTAATTTGAAGTGAAGCTAATACCCCTTTCTTGAAACAAACCCAGATTAATGTACAAGAGTGATATACACGTGTGAAACATGAGCCACGTGTATAACACCATTTTTAAAATTATTTTTACTATTGTTCATTTTATTTTAGTTTTTCCCTTCTTCCTTCTTTCCCTACTCTTTTTCTCCACATCCATGGCTATAAGTTGCATTTTCATGGCGTAGTTTTTTTCAGTTATCAAATCCATAACACACACACACTGCCCACAATTCAAAGGGTTTCTCAACAAGATAGACCATTGTATATAGGAAATCAAGGTCATTGGAATTCAATTTTCCCGTGAAGGTTGTACGGTTTCAATCTCTACTTTTGGATCTTGGATTCCAATTCACAAGGGGTAAGATTTGAGGAAGGTGATTTAATCAGTGTCTTAGAAAGGAAACATAAACATGGTCCACTTTATCGGAAAAAATGGTGCCAGCGAACAACTTTTCTAGCCAACCAAACCCACATCTAATTTGTCTAAGAAACAAATTTGAACTCCCATTTATAATGTATAATATTAAACCCATTAATCAAATTTATCTACAAAGAAAAAGAGAATGACGTAGATGAGGGAAAAGATAATGAGGGAGATGGTCCGCGTCAGGAAATTCTGGGAAGCAAGAAAGAGAAAAGGGAGAAAAGAATAATAAAGAAAAAAGAAAAAAGAAAGAAAAAGGAAATCTAAAATGAAAAATACTAAGAATATATAATTAAGTATAACTAATTGTATATCATCCAATTAGAAGATGACAAATGTACCTTTTGAGCATTTTTTAGATGTTACTTTTTCCTTTTCATGCGCTTCCCGAAAGTTGATGACATTTTGTGTTTAATTCCACCTGTTAAGGGGGTATAAATTTCATTTTAGACTAGAATGTGGGGGGTGGGGGGGTAAAGAAACGCCCGTAAAGTTTAAGTGTGTAGCCGAGTTCTCCAAACAAGTTTGAGGTGCAAGTTATGCATTTTCCAAAAGAAAAAAAGAGTTCAAGGACAATTAGGAAGCACGAGGAGCAACTACACCTCTTACCTAGATGGAATTGGCTTAGTCTGGAAGATTTAAGACCCAATAGCAAACAACTCAACTTAGACATAAAATTGCGGAAAGGAGAAACAAACACTGATGAAAAACCCATGAAACAAATTGGACCCATGTAGAGTCCTATGTTGAGTTATATAGTAGTTCCACATGGGCTATTATCTAAGGGCTTCCACAGCAGTTCAACGGTCTTGAATTACTCCACCAGTTGCCTTAAGGTCTTGGGTTGGATTAGTGGTGGCAAATGGGTGGGTTGAAAATGGGTCAACATAAAATGGGTAATAATTCAACCCGCCCATATTTGATATGGGTAAAAATGGATTGGGTAACAAATGGGTTGGGTAAAATACTAGTTTACCCATATTTACTCATATTTTCATGAGTAAATAGTACTCTACTTAAGAATTCAACATGGAGAAAATATTTTAGTCTTTTCTTAGATGAATTTTTTTGAAAATACTTCATTTAGTTTTATTGTATCATAAAAGTCAAAAAAAAAATCCTATAACTTTTCAAGATAAAATAAATTTATGTAATAACAAGGGGAAATTTTTTTTAATTTCAAAGTAAATGAATATTTGCATTTTAGGACTAAAACATGCTTAATGCACTTTAAGCAATGTCAATAGTATTTATTATCCAATATAAAATTAAACAAATAAAAAAATATAATTATAATTAAAAAAAGAAATGTAGATTTAAAATATATATTTTTGGAGGACCAAAGACTTCACCTTTTCAATTATAGAGAAAAATATTTAGTTCTATAGAAGAACATAAAAGGAAGAGAAGTTACAATATTTTTAGTGATATCATAAATTTTGAGTGAATAAAAGTTAGAAGCTTAACCCATTTGGCTAATCCATATTTTACCCATATTTGTATGGGTTGATTATGGGTATCAACCCATAGTTTACCCATGTAAAAAGTCACTCACCCAACCCATTAAAATATGGGCGGGTTACCAAAATATGGGCTCATTTTGCCGGCACTAGGCTGGATGCTGAATTCTTTCACCACATAAAAGTTCACGTGTGAACCATAAAATCTGGATACACGTATAGAAGGGGTGTTAAGTCATATGGTTGTTCCACATGAGTTGTTTAAGAGCTTCTAAATCAGTTTATAAAGGTCTTGAACTACTCAAGCTATTGCCTTAGATTGTGAGTCCGAATGCTCAGATTCTCACACATATATATAACTGGAGAAACTTTTGTACCAAGCAGGAACTGATACTGAATATTTTGTTTTACGTTTATCATCTGCATGCCAGTGGCAAGGAAGTGAAAGAACCATAAATTAAGTGTTTAGGCTTTTTACTGAATAGACTAATGCTTTTTAACAAATTCGTCTAACACTTCTCAAGAAACAAAGAAGTCATCTTGTCCATAAATATCAAAGAGAAACTCCGATACATTCTCTTAATTTAGGAAGTCTTGACCTTATATCACGTCAACATGACTTTAACTTATATCTGACTGCTTATAAGATGCACTATGAAGGATCTTATTTACCTGATGACTTTATCTTATACCTGATTAAATCCCCCCATGTAGTTGTCTTGTATCACCATTTACCACCTTACCAAATTGAAGGATCTTTTTTCTTTGTTATCATTCCACAAAATTCCTTCTGATCTTGTCCAACATATTCTTCACACTGAAAGGCATAGGAAAGAGCAACATAAGGTAAGTTGGCAAGGAATCAAGGACCCTACCCCCCCCCCCAGATATAGGTATTGTCTCTTCCAAGTTGCAAGTTTCTTTTCAAATATTTCTTCAATCTTTGCCTTATATTGTTGCTCCTAACGACATGCCCAAAAAAAGGTTGGAAGCTCACCTATTAGACACCCCAAATTCTCACTAGTATGTGCAAGTCATCCACATCATTAACGGTAAATAGCGAGCTCTTTCACAAGTTGATCTTCAAACTGAGACTGATTCAAACAACAGCAAGATGGCTCTTAAATATCTAAACTTCTCCTTAGCTCCACAAGAAATAAGAATATCAATGGCATATAGCACGTAGGAAACTTTCACTCTATCAAGTCTTGTTGTCCCAGTTTTGAACCATTTAATCCAATTCAAAGTCATCACTCTGTGTAGCATTAGACTGATTCCTTCCATAGAAGGAATGAATAAGAAGGGGATAGAGGATCCCCCTGTCTTAATCCCTACAGTCTTCTAGAGTTCCATTAATAATCACAGATTACATAACACTGGAAATGCACCATTTAATACACCCAATCCATTTTTTGCCAAATGCCATATATTTTAACAGATTAAGTAGGTAAAACCAATTCACATATCAAATGCCTTTTCTATGTCCAACTTACATAGATGATAGAATACCACTTCACCATGTTTCCTGCTAACTAAGCATTCAATTGCAATGAGCACTGGGTGCCTTCTTTATATGAAGGCCTTTTGTGTATCTACTACCAAGTACCAAGCATTTCAAAACCTTCTTATCTTTCTATCAACAACTTGGAAATGATTTTATAGTAGCTTTCCAATAAGCTAATTGGCCTGAAGTCCTTCAATTCCTCTGCACTTTGCCTTCTTAGGGATTAGAGACATAAAAGAGGCATAAAATCTTCTTTCAAATTTGCCAGAGTGATAGAAGAAATGTACAGCAGCCATACCATCACTTTTCACCACGGACCAACAATGTTTAGGGTCAGGAGCCTTCTCACTTAACAACTTTTAATGATATACTCCACTTCTCTTCTGGAAATGGTCTATGAAGCCATTCACTATCTTCTGCTGATAATCTGGAACAATTGGCTTGGAAAGAGGACCTCCAATTTTCATTTTCCCTGCCCAAGTTCATGTAACTAAGTATCTCCTCATTAATTACTCCATGTTTATCCACCTCTACTCCGCTAACTTTCGGCTTTTCAATCATGATACTCCGTTGATTTTCAACTTTTCAATCACATTAAACCTTTTGTTTGTGTAAAACTATATTTTTTGTCCCCCACTCTTATCCACAAAAATCTAGATCTTTGTCTACATAAAACTTGTTCGAACTTTATCATCTCATGTCATTCCATCATGGTACCAGCCCTCTCTATTAACTGCTCTTCATTAAGCACCCCGACTTCTTCAATGTCGAGCTTACAGAAGATTTTGCATTAGATTCTGATGGATAAAGTCAAAGCTTTCTCTTCACAGCCCTCAAAGCCCAACCCATTTGTTTACCCACCTTGGTTATACATCTTTGAACCCATTTAGAAACGCAACCAAATTTAATAGAAGGACAAGAAAATTGTATGCACTGTTACATGTCGGACATCGTCTCCTTTCATGGTAATGCCAGAATTTCGTCAGAAGAAGACAGAGAACCTTCCTCTGCAAAAGTAGCTTCTAATCTTCTGCCACTTTCAAGCTCTTCTGCCCCATCATAGCCCCCAGATCG